CATAAATGACAAATTGGTCCATTTATAGAACCACAAGTATAAGCAGCGCATATTTTTGCACAAGTAAGCGAATGAACTTGAAGGCAGCATTTGAAAAGACACAGTCACGGGGAGATTGATGGCGAGTGCCCTTTACATCTGAATAAGAAATGCAAAGAGTGGGAAAGGTGAAAAGCGAAATTGTGGCACAAATATAAGCCGTGGAGCCTGAGAAACATTTTTCTAAGCAGTATTCCAATGAGGCAGAGCTAACAAATATTTGTAATAAGCTTGATCTTTTAAGGCTGGCATCTGCCTTCTATGCGGTTGTCATTTGTCTAGTAAATACTTATTCTGAATGGACACACAATCACAAAGCTTCGACTGACCTAGTTCTGCACTGCTCCAGGCCCAAGACCATCATCATTGCAGAAAACTTAAGCATATTAAACATCCTTGATTCTGCTACCTCCCACCTCCATCTCCGTGCGATCAAGGACCACTCCTTTTTGCTACTGCCAAACATGCCCTCCAATTCTCCAACAGTCTATCTTCCCAGATGGGACCCAATAGCTCCTAGATCCTTGTATGTGCATTGAGAAGCAGAAATAAATTATGTTTATGGATTGTCAATACAAGGCTGCTGCGTTTTCTCAGAAATCTCTGTAATGACTAGACTGAATCACACATTGGAATATGATCATTCTGAGATCAGGCGATGTGTCATCAGAAAAGGTGAAATATCTGTCTGCTAATATTCCTAGAGCAAAACCTTTTTGAACTTGATGGAGGTATATGCCTAAAGACCCAGAGACAGGTTACCACCAGAAAGCCCTGTTTGTCTTTAGCAACATGTGCTCATGCTGCACTCTAACCCACCATTTAGATCACTCTATGCTTTGATCTCCAGGAATTTCAATGGTTACTCTGGAAGTTAGCCCAGCTTCCATGCCTTGTGAAGTCCTGCTCAAGAGTCCCAAACAGTGATGTGTAGCCTCATAGCTCCGCTTTCCTACTGAAGGGGATGCAGCTCCAAGGAATCCATTGAACCTTACTGATTTTTGTCTCTCTTTAACTAGGAATGGCTACACCATATAGTCACATGCATCGATTATTTTTCTGAATGAACAGCAGGGTTAATGACTGGATAACATTTAAGCATTTACTTACAATAATTTTCCTTTCTCCTTCCAAACAGGATTTGAGGTAGTTCCCCCATGTGGACATTTATACTCATGTTATGAATAGTTGAAATAAAACTAAATGAGGCAGCACACTGCATAAGCCATAAAATCCTTAGTGCCCACCGCAGCTTACTAATCCTTACCTCTGAAAATTCTCCCTGAGGGATTTATTCAACAAAAAGATGCAAATAAACAATATTGAAAACTGCTTAATATTTGTTAGCTACAATAGGTTATATCTAATCTGGGGAAATGCACAGATAGAACAGAAAATCCAACTGTGAGGTTTTATTAAGGAAATCACAGTCCATAGATAGAATGAGATATAATGTAGTCATTAAAAATGATTATGTGTGTTATATAACAGCATGTAAAGTGTTTACGACGTGACATTAAGTTAACAAATCAGATCACCCTGTGACTGGAAGCAAGCAAATGTTACATATCCACAGCTATGTTGTAGAAATACACAGACCAAAGAAAAAATTTGAAAACAGACATAACATTGATTAGAACAAGGAATGCTTCAAATATCGTCTATTGCTGCTCGCACACTACCTCACAAGTTTATTTGGTTTTAAATGAACAGTTTAGATGCTGTGCAGGCGTTTGTTTCAAGTGGGCGGAATTTCCAACTGACCAAGGTACTGGCAGATGAATGAATTTTTCTTCCTAGCAGCACCAAGCCACATAAAGGCTGATCTGTATTTTACATTGTTCTGCATACAACTGCACAAAGAGGGGTTAAATACTCAGAATAGTTTTTTTCTTCCTTGCCATAAAACTCTGAACCTGTGTCAGAGACCTTCAAACATTATTTTGGAAAGGATTTTAAAAACAAATCTTTGAAGTCTGTCGGATACCTAAGAATGGCTTTACCGTGTGGTCTTGATGGTATGAGCGGTAGTCTTAAAATACATTCCCTCCCTTCAAAACATTACTGGAGGTAGCTCTCCAAATCCCCAAGGTCCCTAGCATCTTCTCCTTCAATAGTTTTATGCTGTCTTCAGCTGTCTGAAATCTCTCCTTTTTATCACAACAACGTATTTTCCACTGATCCTACAGTGTCATTCCATTCTAAGGACCAAATGACTTGTAGTCCTATTTCCTTTGAAACCAGTCTTTCCTGATCTCTGTTCCTGCCTTATTTCCTCCTTGTCAATCAGGGAAAGCAACGTTCGACTGCCAGGAATCAACTCACAATGCATTTGTCTTCAAGCCATTCCTGGCCCATAGCGATGGGAGTACACATTTTACCATAATTGAGTTTTCAGATAAGGACTGATTTTGCTCCCAGTCACTCCAAAGGTATTTGGTAAAAACTAGGACAATGTTTTCAACCATTATCCACACAGTGCAGTGATGGAAAGTATATGTCTATTATCCTATACATGAAGAAGTCCAGGTTCTGTAAAGTACCCTGCATAGTATAGAACATTCTTCTACAACCAAGATTCAAGTCTAAAATATCAATACTGTCAGGGCTGAGGAAACTCCTTTCATCATAACCAGATTTTTACTGAACTCTCCTGTTAATCTGTGATTCCCTGTGGCTAGCAGTCAATCTCTTAAATTTTAGATTCCCGGCTTTTACCAAAGCCTGACTGACAAATAATTAGAACTGATTAACTAAGTAGAAAATAAACAAGTGAATCAAGAAGTGAATAAAAATGTCATATTAAAGAAAATCATTAAAATGCAAAAATATTTCTATGATCTTTCCACATGTCTTTATAATCTTACATTATATGTCATCCAAAAGGACCCATATTTTTAGTCTACTAATTTCACATTTGATTGCTTTTTCCTGGTGGGCATTTGGAATTTTCTGGTGCAAATTAAGGTAAATCTTCTCTTCCAAATTAAATAACAGCCTACACTGTTTTAAATCTAAATGTCAGTGCTTTGTAAAAGCTTATCCCGCTGCCTATAATAAACAGTGAATCGGGGGAAAGTGCACAAATTAATCATATGCAGAGAGCTCATTTGCCATGGATGAGTTTCATGGGAGTGATTTAAATGTTTCAGGATTTTAGAGAACAGTGTGTGTTTATGCCCTGAATACACTCAAAACAGGTGACAACCTTCGCATAACCAACTATCCAATTACTTGAACAGCAAAGGATGGGAGACAGGAATCGCTGATGTCAACGTTCGTGTGTCAGTTTCCTACAGGGGCGATAGTAATATTAATTAACGAAGGAAGTTGACAGCTACACACAGTTCACAAAGCTCTTTTTTTTTTTTTTGGAAAAAAAGGCACCAGAAAGAACAGCTCTCCATCCTCTCATGGCTGATAGACGTCTTTGGTCATGAAATTCACAGTCAGGAGTGGAAACTTTTGCAAATATCTGAGTTCTACCTCCGTTTCCACCTGAGCGTTCTTTGCTCTCTCAGTACAGCCACCTCCCTTTTCTTAGTTCTCTGTCTCCTGTGTATTTCCACCTACCCAGTATGCATTGTGTCAGAGTGAAAGGTCAGCCACCCATGTTCTCCCTGCTGAAAATGTCTCCCAGGGCCCCCTTCTCCTCCTCTCCAGCTACCAGTTTCTTTATTGACTCTTCAATTTAATTCTTTCTCAATGTTACAATCCAGTCTTTTCTTTCACACCAGGAAACTTAATATTCATGCTATAAAACCAAGTAGAAAATGAATGCTTTATTAAAACCAAGGTAATACCCTCGACCAATTCACATTTAATGCTCCATGCACTGCAGTGATGGAGAGGTGTTGATTTCTCAAGTGGTATATCAGGAGGGAACTGCTTTAGAACGTACTGTAATTGTTTCTTCACTTTATAGTGAATCTTATCTGACTTTCTGGCTCAATTACTTCCAAAATGTCTAAAGAGAGACATTGCTCCCATGCCATCCATATTTGAATTCTGCATGTATTTATGTGACTGTGACTGAGTTTGTCTGAATCTCAGTTTCAAAATTAAGTTGAGGGATTATTGATCACTGGAACAATCTATTTCATATGACAGGCTTGTGTTAAAAATGAATGAGAGGTGGGCTATATCTGCCCAATAGTCAGTATTGAGTAAATATGAGATTTCTATAAACCCAAGCCAAATGAAGCAATAAGCTCTAGTGTATAATCAATCCAGAGAAGGGATATGTTTTGTTTCTGTTGGTGGTTTAAGTGAATAAGGAGGAAGAATCATTATTGTTACTTCAAGTTCAGGAAGGAAAAGAGAAAGGGAGATTGCTCAAAATTTAATAGGACAATCCCATGGTCCAGCGAACTAGGGATGTTTAAAATAAGACCACTATACAGTCTGTCTTAGTTAACTTAGGCTGGCTCCAGGAAATTAGAGAGGCTTTTCAAAACTCCAGGGTTATCAAGTCGACTTTTCTCCAACCAAATAATTTTGTCAAAACACGGGAGAACAAGTCAGCCACTTCAGACAGGTATAATCTGCTATTTTGCCAGCACCTTCCACAGTATCTGTATGAAAAAGACTTCTCTTATCTCCCTAGAGTTCAGGCCTTGGCTGCAAATTGATGAGGTCATCCCTTAGTCTTTCATAAGTGCATTTCTTACCCATCAGTCCCCTGTCTTCTGCAGGTTGCCTGGGTAACACAGATCACCTGACTGGCATGTCTGAGTCCTCTAACCTACCTTTTTCAGCTTCACCACACCTTCCTGTGTCTCATAGTCCGTTGTGATTTCAAACAGTTCTGCGCCGTCTCCATCAACGATATTGTACGTGACTAAGCCATTTTCTCCAATGTCTGGATCTTTAGCCTTCACTCTTCCTACTTCCTCCCCCGGGACAGCTGCTTCTGAAATAGACATCTGGTACACGCCTGAAAGAAGAAGACATCTACTTTTATTTTCCTTTTTATTTGGCAGCTGTAAGACTTCAGATTTCATTGAATTCCAGCAAATTTCTCAAAGGGTTTAAAATTGAACTTTCTATTGGTAGAACACAGAAGAGAAGCAGATGGATGGGAAGAGGGTCCCAGATGACCTGTTCGCTAGAAGAATGTGTTTCTTTACAGGTTGATAAAACAATATTGAGGTCCTGGGTGAGGTGATTGGGTCACCCAATCCATGTGAGGAAGGAAAAGAGTGATGGAGGACTATGCAAGACTCCACATATGTGAACAGCTGACGCTTCCTTTTGCTTTTTCATGATATCCCACAGATTAATTCCAAGGTTTTCTTATACCACTGCTAATTGCTCAAGGAAGAACAGAAACAGAGAAAAAATATGACCCCTATCTTTAGAAGGCTTCCAGCACTTCATGTTTACTTTAGAGACAAATGCCAAGCTTATCTTTCAAGGATATCCCTTTTTTACTGTTATATTTCTATATCATCTTACTCTACATGTTTCCTACTAAGTCAAGCATGGAATTCTCTAGAAGCTTCTAGATAATTACTCTCTCCATACTTACGTGTATATTAATCAGAAATGTAAATTATGCCACATTTCATATTTATGTTTATCAGGAATGTAAAGGATATTACACACTCCTTTAGCGCTGAACCTCAAAAATAAAAAGAGCATCATGATTCTTCCCTTAACAGAGGTACAAGAAAAAGAAAACAAAATATATCTATATATAGTGTGATGTTATAGGCTAAGAAATATTGTATGGTAATGGATAAAGGGTAAGAAGTTTGTGTGTGTGTGTGTGTGTGTGTGTGTGTGTGTGTGTGTGAAGAAGTATTTAAGTTACACAAGTGGGTAGGAAATTAAGTGAATCACCATGCTGTATATGAGTGAGTGTGCATATGGAAGTGTGAGATAAATTTTTTCTATGCAGATGTATGTCACTGAACACCTATCACTTTTAAGTATGTCTGGGTGAGAGGGAGACCTGGATTAACTTGGGACAGGGAAGGATTGAAGGCGGCCTTTAGAAGAAATCTGCACTGGACTGAAGGAACTGAGCAAGACAAGTGTATGAATATGTGCAGAATAAGTCACAGGGTCAGGAACAACCAATGTCAGAGAACCTTAGGTGAGAAGATTCTGAAACTGGACAGACTAGCAAGGACAAGAGTGAGAGTTGGGCCTCTGTTACAGGAGCAATGTAGGTAGGCGATGTTTGAAAAGGCATTGCAGAAAATAGACAAGGTGTTGTTTCATTTAAGGAAACCATCAGACAGTGTTCAGTAGAGTAGTGAGATCTAGCACCATCGTATGACTGGCACTTTGAAAAACAGTCTGCTTAAGACACTGCAGAGTGGTGGGACCTCACCTTTCAGTGTTCAGCCCAGTGGTGTTGACCACATCTATCAGTTGCAGTGTTATGTTTCTTTTGTGCTTATATTGTACCGATTTTCAACTTAATCTTACATTTCTTTCACATTAAAGGAAAAATTGGAGTATCATTTTGTAGAAATTACATAAGTTTATAAAGGTTTAGAAGACCTGCTATCATGTGATTTTTCTCGAAATGCCATTCAAGTCCATGGCTGTGAAAACATTTAAACTGGAACCTTAGAGACATAATTATCTAATGACTTCTTATAAGAAGGGACATTAAGGGCTACCCATGACTAATGCTGTTTACCCCTTTCATTTCCATTTTACAGAATGAAACATGCAACTTTGACAATGTTGTATGAGCCTCAGTCTTTTACAACTTGTATAAATTTCAATTTGAACAGGGAGATCAAGGTTCCCCCATCTCTTTGAGGCTCCTCAAAAGCTAATATGTTTCTCATAATCCACTCCTTTGATATCTCTATTTTATAGATTGTTATCTTTGGAATCCTTGGAGTAACCAAGAGGTCTATGTAATTGTCATATTGATTGCCTTCCTTTTGGTTTGTTTATACTCTTAAGATTGTTTATGTGTATGTGCATGTATCTCTTTTAGTGTACATCATGTGTGCAGGGATGTGCTTGCAGAGGCCAGAGTGAGTGTCAGATCCTCTGCATCTGGAGTCACAGGTGATTGTGAGCTGCCTGATATGGGTGCTAGCAACTGACCTCTCGTCCTCTGCAGGAAGAGACTCCATTGGAAGGATTCACATTGCCACTATTTATCTATTACTAAAAATCACAGAGCCATTATGATTTTGTTATAACTCTGTATTCACCTTTGCACATGCATAAATGTGTGTGAAAGTCTGGCTTTGGAAATTTCTTAGGCCACTCATTGTACTTCCATAGAAGCCACATTTTAACCTTTATAACATAGGCTTTTGTTAAATATTTATAATATCAGTGACTAGTAATTAAATGATGGTGAAATAGAGGCTATTATCGACTTCAATATTTCAACACAGTTTTATCTAAAGAGTTATCTTATTTGGTGCTGGAGAGATGGCTCATGGTTAAAAGTTTAGGCTTCTCATCATGTGTACCAGAGTTTGGTTCCTAGCACACAAACCTAGTAGCTTAAAATGACTTATAATTATGACTCCGTGGAAATCTGGCAGCTCTGACTTCTGAGGGCACTTTCACAGATACACTTGACCCTCATATGCATACTCAGGAGCACATAATTTAAAATCATAAAAATACAATTTTCAAGATTTTTTTTCTTATTTTCAACTATGTATATGTCTGTGCCTTTGTGGCTCTGTGCACAAGAGTGCAGGTTGGGCAGAGACCAGAAGAGGGCAACAGATCCTCCTGGAGCTGAGTTACTGGCAGTTGGGAGCCATCAATATTGTTCTTCTGAAAAAGCAGCAGATATTCTTACCTATTGAGCCATCTTTTTATTCCTTTTATCTTCTTTATATTTCCTCAACAATATCATAAGTTTTGTGCAATAATCAAAATAACAATGGCTAAAAAATTATTGCCAATTTTTCAGATGCCACAAGAATCAGCACTAGCTGGGTTAATCCAAACAATAACAATTATAATTAACTTATATACTAAAATGTCATCTTCTAAAAACAGACATGAATATCTCATCCTACATGCCTCTTCTTTAACATTATCTTATGGTCCTTCCATAGAAAATTGAGGTCTGGATGAACCGTGCTAAAATTTTGGCAGGTTTATGAGTACATTGAGAAAGCCACGTGACTTTTGAAGTCAGTTCAGAAAAGGCAAAGCAGATGGTTCCTGTGATCTGGGAGTTCTTATGATCAGAACTCAGCCACAGGAAGGCTCATGTGGAGAGGAAGCAAAAGTCAATCTCAATGTGCCAATCCTGTAAGTAATCTTAGAAGTGGGGCTTTTCAGCCACGGAGAGCTGTCAGCATCTGATGCTGGAATGAAAATAGAGCAGCAATCTCTCCTAAGCATAAATTGAAAAGTTAACACACAGATAAATTATTCTTTTAAATCACCATGATTTGAGACAGTTTGTTATGGAACAATAAATAACAGATCAATGTACAGATAACATGCAGGATAGTAATGTGGACACCGGAACAGAGAAAGGTTAATTGGTTCCCACCTTACATGACTAATAACCTAGTAATTAAAATACCAGAAAACACAGATTTTTCTGTCTCCAGAGTTACAGATCTTTTAGTGTCTTCTCCTCAATATTTCTATACCATTTAACTTTCTTTTGTGTTTTGTGTGTGATTAAATTGTTACCATGTTTTAGTTTTTTGTAAGAATGTTGAAAATGGTTCTTGGTTTTCTAGACTTTTCTTTTTGAAAGCTGAGTAAAATCAGAGTGAGTAGAAAGATGATGATCTGACTGTAAGTGGCAAAGTGCAAAGACCAACCTCAACTACTTACTCTGTGGAAATTTTGGTGGGTTGTCATTGACATCAGTCAGAGTGATCGTCACTTTGGTTGTCCCTGAGAGCCCGCCCATGTGTCCACCCATGTCCTTGGCCTGGATCACCACATGGTACTCCTCCTTGGCTTCTCTGTCCATATTGGGAAGGGCTGTTCTGATGATACCTGCCAGGTTAGCAATACAAAATTACAGATCTTCATTCATGACAAAATTTCAACAAGGAAAATATTTTAGATTCTGGATAGTTAAGATATATAAATGAGTCTCTTTGCTCAAAGAAAAGTCAGTTTAACAGGACTACTTTAATGGAAAGTATTCATGCCCAAAACATCTATGTATTTTCAAGCAAATTATAAAAATACTTCTTACATATGTTAATTAGTTTTGTTTTTCACTATGCATGCAAAGAACAATCCCTTCCTTTCAGACACAAGGATCCTGAACACTGAAATGACAAATGCCTATTCTATGTCTCTCCATAACTGAATCTATGCTTCTGGACTTCTAGCAAAAGCCTTCAGGAATCTAGTTCTACATGAAATTATTAGAAACATTTCCTCAATCCATACACAAATTAAAGAGGAGTCAAAAATTTTATTCAATATGTTAAAATCCTAATATTAATTTTCAATAAGTGAACTGAAGAGTTAGAAGATGAACAAAGCTTGCACCTGTCACTGACAAACATAACAAATGAATGGCTTAATTATTTATGACCCCTGTACATTGAAACATGATTTCCAGGAAAGCTATGCCTACTTACATTTCTAGCGATCACATGGAAGTGTTTATAGTCAGCGAATACGGTAGTATTTTTAGCATAAATATAAACAACAAAGAGAAAGTGTTGGTCTTTGTTGTGTTTTCCCAAGCCCCAGTGTTAACACATTTCTTTGCAATCTCCTGCTGAGACCTCAATAACTCCTGAGACTTCATTTTCTTCATCTGTTAGATGGTTTTGTAGGTTTCATTCGGTAGTTACTAACCTTGCTACCCCAAGACAAAGATTAGAGTTTTTAGCGTCTCCAAAAGTCTAGATGAATCCTTTATTTATCCTTAACTGAAAGAATAATGGCACATGACTTTATGAAATCATAAACTACAGCTCCTCAAGTTGCTGTTTGGAACAAGGTGGTAAAAAAATAAAGTAATGCATAGATAAGCAGGAATTAAGCAAGCAAATTTTTTTTAAAAAGTACCAAATTAGAAAACAATTTATAAAAGCTGAAAATTGTATGAGAAACTCTTCCAAAACTACAGAACATACTATAAAGAAAGAAAATGTCCTTGTTATAATACCGTGGAAGAGCAATTTTGTAGAATTGTAGTTTTTACTCTTGTGAAGAATCACATTTGTTGTAAATGAAGTGCAACATGGTTTGAGTTTGTATTGTATACTGGTTCATTTTGTTAGTTTACTCTTTATTTTGTAACATCCGTTGGAAACCTATTGCACAACAAGGGAGATTGGAAATGTGCTGAATCTTCGTGCAACAGGAACATTAACCATTACACCTGACACTATTGAGTTTACCCAGTGGTCTTCCAAGGATGCTTTGAAAGCTAACTACTTTGAATCAGCTTTGGGGTCCTTTTCATAAATCCACAATTTAAGACACTTCCAACTCACAAGCTGAATTATTCAATATTTATTATTATGAGCTGGACCACTAATAATTGGGTTTTACTTCATCAGTCATATGTCGAACATGTACATAAGCGTTTTGGCCCTCATGCTAACCCTCCAGAGTATCCCTTATATTTCTCTCAACTTGAAGAAAATTTCAAGCCAAAGCATTGAACTGAGCAGGCATGGACTCCTTACTTACAATGTATCATGACTCACAATGACAATGCAATCCACTATACCTGTCTGGGCCTCCACTGAGAAGTAAGGTTGTCCTTCAAGAATACTGTACACTAACTTGGCACTATTTCCATAAGTGGGGTCGTCTGCATCGGAGGCTGTCACTTGGATTACTGATGTTCCTAAAAAGGGAAACAAAGCAATTAGCAACACCCGCTAAACTTTTCAAATTGCATTAGTGTTTACAGGGTTTAATTTAATATTAAATCCTGAAGAGAGGCCCAGGGTTAGTTAATATGATATTAATTTCCTACAGCCCAAGAGCAAAACACCCCCCTGAATTTCTTCTTCATTTTTCTCATTCTCCTCTTCCTTTCCTTTTAATTATCATCATTTAAAACTAAACTTTCTATAATCACAGTGCCTCATGTCTGGGTGGATAGTTAAAATAATAATATAAACATAATTGTCAAACATTTTTAGAACTATGTGATAGAAACATTCAGTGTATTCGATAATTAAATAAAAATCTCAGAGAGTGTAATAAATATAATTAACAATTAATTGCTTTTCATGAAAGGACAAAGTGCACTCTCCCATCTGTAACAACAAATACAACATTTTACTGTTGCTTTGCCTATAATGAAGTTACTTCTAATACTAAATTTTAACTAATTTATGGATATAAATAATTATATGGAATGCTGTTCCTTACTGACTCAAAAATTGCATTTTATCATCTCTGTTGAGTCTGGTAGCTATGCAATAGAAACCATCAGTGCACAGTCAATGGGATCTAAAAGACAATTCCTATGTCAGAAGAAATCAGGTATAATAGGAAAATGGTATCTTTTTTTTCCTTTGAAAGGTCCATTGTCGCAGTAGAAATCTGGGAAAAAGCATGTTGAGGCTCAGAGCAGAGAGAGAGGAGACGGGAAGACAAAAGCAGCAAGGATCCAGCCTATCCCTGCCAAGCAGTGTTTGTAGTAAATTCCATGTGATGTGCCAACATTCCTCCGCTAGACATATTTGCATCTTTTTTTACTTGGGAGAGATTTGGTATGAGAGATACGACATTTTGAATTCTCTTTCAAAGTTATTTACCGTCAGAGTCAGGATTCTAATCCAGATCTAACAATAGTAAAACCCAAGTTCCTTCTCTGAATCTGTCAGCAGAAGCAAGGTTCCTCCTGTCAGGGTATAGAACCCCTCTATATAGCTTAAAGAGAGCCATCCCCTGCCACACAGTGTTTACTGTGACTTCCATGGAAAATATAAGAAAAAATATCAACCTTCCATATTCTCTTTTTTTTTATACCACTGTCATTTTTGAACTACTTCTCACAAGCCAAGAAGTATTCTCAAAAACAGAGATTATCATAAAAATGTCATAGCATGCATAAAGAAGTTATTATTTATTTTTTATTATAAAGTTACTTTTATTATTTCATTTAATTCTATAATTTTCTAAGTAATTGTCAACTTTTTCTATTTTATATATTTACTTAACCATCATTGTAAACATGAACCTCATTGTATAGTTGGCTAGTTGAAGAAATGATAATTTCTGAAGGTATACAAAGAAGCCAGGATCACATATATATCTGGCGACAAAGACAACATTTTTAATGTGGTATAGTAGAAAATCTGGGCACTGTCCAAGACACAACGTGTCCCCTGAAGAGAACTATAAGTCCAATGGGTTGTCAGTTCGGATGCCTAGCTAGCCCCACTTCCTCAAGTCTGCTTCTCATTAGAATTTGCACGTGAGGGTAGAATAAACAGCAGACAGGACAAGAAAATGTGATGGGTGATGGGAAGGAAGGAAGAGATGAATGAGCACAATAGGCTTCACACAGAGATTGGAAGAACCTTAAACTTCTGACGTCACAGCTGACTCTCTTGCTTAAGCTAATCCTCATATTCGGTGCTTGCTATTCTCAAAACATCCTTGTTTGTCAAGCTTAACGAATCAGACTGACACAAAATATGATAACCATGCTGATAACCATGCCCGTTCTGGAAATTCAAGTCAAAGTGATACCTGCTTAAAGAACCAATTAGAATTCCGTCTTTGAGAAAAGCAGTGTGTCTTTAAGCATATTAAGATCATCAGATGATGCAGGCTGCATGAACTAAGTAGCACAATGACCGTGGTTAAATTAGTCAAACTGTTTCTTCTTTTGTTTCTCATTTATACGTGGCTAACGAGATCCACTGCTTTGCAAAGTTTAATCATGGCCAAGTTAAACAAGATAGGGTATAGACACAATCAGTTAAAGCAAATCCCACAAGCAACAAACATTGTCATTGCTGTTGCTTAATGGACATCAATATGCCGCAGTGATTGGATGCCTATTATCAGTACTCTTTGAAGATGGGAAATCGTTACTTTCATTCTACAAAGGAAGAAAAGATGTTAAGAGGTGCCACATGATTTAGTTGACACTCCGAGTCAGGATTTGCTAAACTGAGCCATATTCTTCCCCAAATGACTCTTAATATCTCTTGACTTTACAACCTCCAAGTCTATTATGAACATTTAAAAATCCAAGTTTCATGTACTCTCCGTTCCATGGGCAATTTCCCTTCTGTTTGTATCTTTTGTCCTATGGACAAATAATAGAATGCCTATTCTGGGGCATTAGTTTTAGTTTTATCTTACTATGTTTTCTTCAGTCACTATCCCTTGGCAGTTTGTTTTCTACTGAGAGACGGAAAGAGAGAGGCTCCAGATGAGAGGAGATATGGGAATGAACTAGGAGGAGCAGAGGAAGAAGAAACCATAATCAGGATATATTATGTGAGAAAGATAGCTATTTTTAATAAAAGAGAAAACCCGATTAAATAATTTTTTTTCCTTGTTAAGATGCAATAAAGATGCAACACAGGCTCTGGTTCTGAGCTAGGAGGACAGAAACCAGCCTGCCCACCTGCAAAGACACCAGGTAGAAGTGGAGCAGGTGACCCCAACTTACATACCCACATTCGACCTCTCAGGCACATTGGCATGATAGGTTTCATGGAGAAACTCTGGAGGGTTGTCATTAATGTCCTGGACCTTGACAATGAATTCTGATGGTGGTTCCAGTGGTCTGTTGGTGTCCCTGTCCACCGCCTGAGCCATCAGTGTGTACTGGGCTCTCTCCTCTCGGTCCAATGTTTTCGTGGCATGAATGTTCCCTGATTTGTCATCAATCACAAAAATGGTTCCGGCTCCTTCACCTGAGAGAATGTATTTAATGTTCCCATCACCAGAGTCAATATCAGAATGAAGCTAGAAAAAGAGAGAACAGGACTTGTAATTTCATAAGGAACACAATAAAAATTCATAGGCTGATTGCTACATTAATGCACATATATGTGCACATACATACATTCATACATGTATCATGAGAGCAAGCCATTTTCACCATCATTTTCTGAATGTCAAAATGCAATCTTAGATAACTACCATGAACAAGGTCAGTAAGTTAGGTAATGATGAGGCTAACACATAAGTACATATTTAATTCTGAAATTTAATGTCCTTACTCTCTCTTCTTCCATATATATGCATACATACAAAATATATATACATATTTTGAAAGAAATACATGCATATACTTTGAGCACATGTAAGCATGAATTTATGTAGTATCTTTCTCTCAAATTTTACTCCTGTTCCTTCACTGTCTCTAACTAGAAATCACATTTTTTACCAGTTTCTTATACATATATAAGCTGATCTCCACAAATTCATAAGTGTTCCTGGCTTAATTTCACATAATACTGGGCCAAAGATTACATGCTGTTCTTGTGGTTTCCTCTAACTGCATCTTCAACAGCTCATTCACCATCATGATTCAAAAGATTTCCTCATGACATTCCACTTGATATCACTGTCATTTCTTCCAGAGATCCTCCTCAAAAGATGTTTATATTGTTCAGGTTTTAGTGACTACGGGCAATTCAGCTAATCAGACTTTTGCAGATCATCTGCCTAGTAGTCAGGGTCTACCATCTGGGTCTGTTATCTTCTTAGAAGAGTCTCTTATGACCACAAGGGATTGTGTAACAAGAGGGTAGACATGTAGTCCCCAGACCCTTGAAATAACCTCCAATATGGTTGGATTTTTCACATTTTCCAGAGAGCCTAGAGACAATTTTTATACTGACATGTCAAAATTCCACTGTTACAATAGTCAATTTTGCTACCAGCTCTACCCAATTCTGTTCTGTGATTCACAACAGACCTCACTAATTTTCTCAAAGCAATAAACTCCTTCTATTCTTTTTAAATCCTCATGATTTATGAGTTCCTTTGCCTTCATTATCTCCTCTTGTTAAAAAATATAAATGTTACTTTACATTGTCTTATAGTATTAAAAATAGCTAAGAGATTTAAAAAGCTCTTTCATATAGAATTTCAGCAAAAAAATATTTAGCATTCACAACAACAGAAACTAATACTAATTATCATTTAATATTAATTGATTTAATTTGAATACTAATATCAGTTTCATTTCTAATATCAGAATTTCTATTATTACTATGAAACTATGTCCTACCCAGCTTGCATGAGGTTGACAAAAGAAAAACAGAACTAACCTGAATATACTACTTTTTAAAATGTTTGTGCCATTTTAATTTCCCAAAAAATATCTAATTTATTTGTAGTGTTTTAGTGAAATGTCGAACATTTCAGCTCAGAGGTGAACACAAAACCACTTATGTTGTGGACTCCACAGCTTCTGGAGCAGGGAGAGCAAACAAAGTTTACTTCAGAACTTGTCAGTCAAAACAACCCACCCTTTCAATGGAAAGTGACTGATGTATTTCTTAAGAGGATGGCTATCTGAGCTTATTTGATGGACTTTAGTAAGCAAGTAGAGTTGTCCAACCTCCATGCTGTTTTCTTCAAGGCCCGTGTTCCCCTCGGCTACCTCCCTACGATTGTTGTTTTCTTTTCATTCCTCTGCTTCACAAATATCAAAAGTTAGAGGTTGAGCCCCATGGATGAGGAACAAAGAAATAAATATGAACGTCAAACCACTGAAAGTTTCTAGGGGTCTTCATGCATTACGTAAGAAAAAAGAGATGAATTTCATAATTAGCCAAATACCTGAAATTTTTGCTGTGCAATCTGTTCACCATGTCTCCACTTTGTTTCTATGCTCTCCAACATTTAAAAGTCTGGTAAGTCTTCACTAGTTTTACTCTCACAAAGATAATCTATTATACTAACAATACTATTTATTAGGTTCCACACAAAAGCGGTTTGGGAACACAGCAAGAACTATCAAGGGTCCAGTTGCTGAGGCATGCACAGCCAGTTTCTGACGCCCAAGACTAATGACTTCTCTCTTTGCACAGAGCAGCATGACACAGGCTAAATTTCTGACATGAAAACTGTAAGTCTTTCTGCTTTGCCAAATTCTACCTTTTCAGGGAATTTTAAAGCATTCAACCTTGAATGTCACCATTCAAAGGTTGTTAGAGAAAAAAGTCAACTATTCCTTCTACTTAAGGGAGATCCATCTCAACGGTATTTCAAAAGGAAAAGAAAAGATTTCCCAGATCCAGCTGATCACACACACACACACACACACATGCATGCACACATGCACACATGCACACACATACAGGCATGCATGCATGCACACATGCTCCATCTAACCAAGACTTCTTTCATAAGCCTAAATTTTCAAGATCAGACAGGTGCTGATGCCAGATTTTTCCTTCCTTTCTTTCTCACTGTGCTTCTCTCTTATAATATAATATTTTCTAGATCCAGAGAGAAGAAAACTCATCTGACTCACTAAGCCTTGTCTTCTCTGCAAACTTCAAGTCTCAACACATGCTGCCTCACACTAAGACAGCAACTAAGCAAAGTTCATTTTCCCAGTACAATTCCTGCCCATCTTTGAATATTGTATGAGCTATTTTGCTCTGCCTTTTGGGGCTGTCTTTTTCCTTTCTCTTTCTATAGACTAGCACAACACACCAGCCTAGGGAGTCTGCTTGCCAGTTATTTCCCTTTATCAAGGCTATCTCTTTGCATTTTTCATTTTATGTATAAATGAATAAAATTATTTAGTGTATTTCTAAAAAAACATATTCCCAGCTCTAAATTATGTTGAGATTATCATGCACTTTCACGGAGTATAAAAATCAGAGACATAAAAATACACAACTGTTTTCATACAAAAGTACAGCTAAGACAACTTCATTGGCATCTTTAGTGTTCAAAGGTGTGTTTCTCTATCATCTGTGCTTACATTTCTTCCTCTGTGTTGAACCAATTCTACTTAACTTTCAGGCTCGAAGTTATTAGATACTTGCCTCCATTTTTCATAAGTGTTAAGGACATAAATTCAAAATGATTAAAATGGATTTGATTACCCTTCTCATTCTACCTGGAGTTTTTCTTTCTTTTTAATTGAAAGCATGGATGACTCCTTTCCCTGGATTATTTGAGGTCAGTTATTGCTTTAACCTGATTTATCCTCTGCCTATCACACTTCTCCACACAGTGCAGATTCAATTTGCAGATGTGAAAATGCCTGCTTCCTAATAGCTAATGTCAGTATCATCTAAAAGAGCCACATACTGTATCTTAATAAGTAGTAGAAGGTCAGTTTGACAAATGAATTTTGGACTCTCTACATTTATATTTTTGATGGGGTGGCATCGCAAACGCACAACCTAAGGAGAAGTTCAAATCTAGCTGTTGTGTCACTGTACCCAAAGGCAATGAGGATAAAATCACTCCCATTGTAAAGGCACACATTCATTCATATCTTTGTATTTGGGCTTAGTACCAAGACCTGAGGGTTCAAAGTTAATAAAATCCCTTACACAAAGTAGAATGAAATCTGATTAAAGAGACAGGCAGAGGTAAAAGAGGAAAGAAAGTTATGATGAAAGGACACAGGGAGACACTAGAACATTCAAATTGGGTCAGGCAAGTTGGGGTTAGGATACAATCAAAGAAATTTCTCCATTCTGAAGAACGACTCAGTAAATTAAGGCAGTATTGCTTTCAACAGACAACAAAGCAATTTTTACAAATTAGTTCTTATGGTGTAAGAAGTGAATATTAGAAGCGTTCTCAATGTGGTTAAGTCTATGAATGAGGGGAAAATACTGAAAAATATTTATACAATATGGTTAATTTTTTAGGGGTAGCCAGTCATTAGTGCTTTCTAACTTGGCTTTTGTTAGATTGTTTTTGTTTTATTGTGTCTCACTTTTGTCTGGTTGCCTGCTTTTTATTTTTGCTTAGCATTTGTCCTACGGCTCTGATAATAAACACGTACAGATAGATCAATATCGAATGCAAAGAGCCTTACCCTGCCCACAAGCACAGGGTCAGGCCCAGTGTACTCTTCTATCACGAAGAACTGGTTCCAGACCCAGCCTCTCTTGGAGCGCTGCAGCACCTGGCCCTCCTTGCCCTTCTCATGGTGTCCATGGAATGGGGGCCGCAGGTGGGTTCGTCGCTCCAGGGCCAATGCCTGGCTGTGGTATAGCATGCTCAGGCACACCAGGGCAGCTTGTAAACAGTAGTTCTCCTTCATTTTTGGTTATGTGGTAGGCACAGGAGAATGCAACTATCACTCCGTACGCCACCAGAGTGGCAGTCTTTCAGACGGCGGCCTCCCAGATGTGTCAATTAGACCTCCTCTGGAATGGAGTATCTTCACTTGCTGAGGACATCACGTCAGGGCTGCCCACTTCCCCAGTCAGCTTCTGCAAGCAGAGAGATGTTGGGTTAGCTGCAGCCTTCATCACTTCATTCCCAGTTAGCAAACATGTTGGCATGAATGTCAGTTTATCCCCTGTCAGCTCTGGGAAAGCTGACTGCTTTCTCTGAATCCAGCTAGCTCACTTAGGAAATGGAGGTAAGAATAGAATTCACTGAAAGTTTGCTGCAAAGATCAATTGAAACGTGAATATAAGGCCTCTGACAGTGTATGACACAGAGAAAGTTCTCTATAATTAATTGATCATAATTGTGCTTGGCACAGTGAGAATGTCAGAGGCTGGCTCAGTTAAGGTTGACTTCTTAGAGGATGCGATGGCGAGGTTGCATACTGAAGGGAAAGCTACTGTGTTAAGAATAGGGAGGATAGACTACCATGAGAAAAACCACCAGAATTCCCCAACCATTGCCTGTGTCCAACCAAGAATATACCAAGACTTTAACACAAAGAGAAAAATAGAAGGAAGTTATAACACGGACTTTGCGATGGAAGGGAGGACGATGGTAATGAAAATAAGTAAGAATTAAATGAACAAGGTGAGGGGTTACCTGTCTGCAATCCAGCACTAAGTAGACAGAATCAGAAGGATCACTCCAAGTTTAAGAAATTTGAGTCTCTACCGGGGCCATGCTGATACCCAGAACCCCAGGTTAGACCCCACCCACAGACCTCCAACACTCCTCAGTGGCTGCCCAGCTTTCCCCAACAGATCCCCTTCCTTCATCACCATATCCTGCCCATGACTGCATGCAGAAACACAAAAAGTCAGGATAGTCAAAGCAAGCTGTACAATAAAAGAACTTCTGGAGCTATCACCATCCCTGTTTTCAAACTGTACTTCAGAGATATTATAAAACTAGAAAAACCCTCATGGTATTGGCATAAAAGCAAACAGGTTGAAGGATAAAACTGCATCAAAGACCCAGACAAATCTACACACCTACGGACACCAGTTTTTTGATCTTAAAAAAGCCTGAAATACACAAGGAAAAAGAAAAGCATCATCAACACTAGGTGCTAGTCTAATTAGACGTCAGCATGCAGAAGAATGCAAATAGATCAGTATCTATTATCTTGTATAAACCTCAATTTCAAATGGATCAAAGACCTCAACAACTAAAACAGATACACTGAACCTAGTAGAACAGAAAGTGGGAAATAGCCTTGTACACCTTGGCACAGGAGACTACTTCATGAATATAACACCAATAGCAAAGACACTGAGAACCACGACCAATAAATGTAACCTCATGAAACCGAAAAGCTTCTGTAAAGCAAAGGACACTGTCAACAGGATAAAACAGCAGCCTACAGAATAGGAAAAGATTTTCACCAATTTACATCTGGCGGAAGACTAATATCCAAACCATATAAGGAACTCAAGGAGCTGGTTGTCAAAACACAACTAATCAAATTTAAAAGTGGTGTACAGATCTAAAGAGAACTCTCAATAGAGGAATCTCAAATGGATAAGAAACTCTTAAAGAAAGGTTTAATATCCTAGCCCTTGGAGAAATGCAAACCAAAATTAATTTGAGATTCCACCTTTAACCTGTCAGAATGGCTAAGACAAAAACACAAGTAAAAGTTCATACTGGCGTGCACGTGGAGCAAGAATAACACTCCTCCATTGCTGCTAAGACTGAAAACTTTGGAAATCAGCATGTGGTCTCTCAGAATATTTGGACTCAATCTACCTCAAGACACAGCAATATCACTTCTGGGTATATATCCAAAGGATGCTCCATCCTATCACAAAGACACCTGTGCAACTATGTTCATAGCAGCTGTATCAATAACAGCCAGAAGCTAAAAATAACCTGGACGTCCCTCAACCGAAGCATAGATGAAGAAATTGTACATTTGCACAGTGCAGTAATACTCAGGTGCTGAAAAAATAACATCAAGATATTTGAGAGCAAGTGTATGGAACCAGGAAAAATATCATCCTGAGTGAGGTTAAAGAAAGATAAACACGGTATGTAGTCACTTATAAGTGGATATTTGTAGTAAAGTAAAGGAAGATCATGCTACAATTCACAGACTCAGAGAGGCTACGTAACAAGTACGTCTCGGGGGTGGGGGGGCATATTGATCTCCCAGGGTAGAAAAAAAATGGAATATAGATCTCTGGTGAACTAGGGTCGAGTGCAGTGGGGTTGGGGGAAGATAATACTGGGAGAGACAACTGGAATTGGGGTGGGTATTTAAGGGGTAAGGCAGAAACCTAGTGCAGTGGAAACTCCCTGGGATCTATGAGGGTGACTCTAGTAAAACCCTTAGATAAGGTGATAAAGACACTGAACTGGCAATCTTCTGTAACCAGGTAAGGCTTCCACTGGAGGAATCGAGACACCAACCTACCCACAAAACCTTTAACCTAAAATCTGTCCTGTTTGCAAGGCATGATGGCTAAGGGTAGCACAGAACTTGTGGAAATGACCAACCAATGACTGACTGGTCCAGCTTGAGACTTGTGCCATCAGAGGTAGTCCATGCCTGACACTGCCTGGAGAGTCAGGAACCAGGTTTTGAAAAACCCAAAAGCTGAGATAGAACCAAACATGACTGGCCAAAAACAAAAGCAAAAATCAATGAAATTATTCCTAATACTCTGCTATTGTACTAGTAGACCAGAACCTACCCTGACAGTCATGAGAGAGGCTTCATTCATCACCTAATTGGAGCAGCTGTTGACACCCACTTAGGCAGAGCTTAGGGAATCCTGCGGTAGAGTGGGATGAAGGACTGTAGGAGCCAGAGGGATTAAGGACACCACTAGAAAACTAACAGAACCAACTAATCACAGCTCATAGCATCTGATAGAGACTGGACTGACTATCCAGGAGCCTGCATGATTCTGAGACAGGTTCTCTGCATATATGATATGGTTATAGAACTTGGTGTTCTTGTGGGATTCCTACTAACAGTGAGAGCAGGGGCTGTCTCTGACTCTTTTATATGCTTTTGTGACCCTTCTCTTCACACTGGGTTGCCTTGGACTAACTTAGTATGAGGTGATGTACCTAGTCTTAGTGTAACTTGATACGCCGTGTTTGGTTGGTATCCCATGGAGGGGAGTCCTACCCTTTTCTGGGGGGAAGAAAAGGAGGAGTGGATCTCGGGAAGTAGAAGGGAAGGTGGGGACTGGGAGGGAGATAGGGAGGGGGAACTGCATTTAGGATGTAATATATAAGGGAAGAATAAATTTAAAAAACAAATTTGAGGCTAGCTTGATCTAATCTGAGCTCCATAGTAAATTCCAGGCCAGCCCTACCTAGCAAGATGCTATAATTAAAATGAAAAGTATTTAAAAGGTCAAGCCTTTATTGAGCATTGTGGATCAATTAATTAAAGTTATAGCGATCAATTAACACTACAATGTCAACTAATAGGTCAATTCTCATTCACTCGCAGGGGAATCTATAAAAGCTATAGAAGTCAATTAAGGCTACAGCATCAATTTGCTTTTTTTATGGTCTGAAATTTCCCTCATCAGCTCAGCATCCTATCTTGCTGGACAGTTTTACATAAGATGCTTTCCAACTTCACTCCAATCACAAGAAGAAAAATTGAACAAGAAACCTGTTCTATATTCAGACGAAAACCCAAGCATCATGCTACTCTTCATCATCAGTAAGAAGGAGCCATTGGCCAAGTTTTTCTTCCAATTCCTTGTATATATCTGACCTACAATCTGTCAAGTTCCTAGACTTCTTTTTTTGAGTTTTAGTACTCTGCTATGAGAAATAACTTCCTCTTTACATAACATTCATGCTTACTCCCCTTTCTTAAAACTCATGTTTCCGTATAGAAAATTATCTGCTTGTTCTTGACGGCATCCAAAGCATAGGTTGAAGATAGTTCTCAGAAACACATACATTCTCTATTACCCCAGCACCCAGGGACAAACACTGAGCAGGACCTGGGATTCTTTCTCTTTTCCTACAGTAACAAAATGCAAGCCTGTCACTGTTTATTGTTGATGGAGAAGACAAAAGAAGACCAGTAAGGTGCTCCAAAAGGAAGGAAAAAATAAGTGTTACAGGGGACAAAGCCATTTGGCTTAGTCATCTAGGATATAAGTGGGCTGGGAGAACCCTTTTTCCCAGAGTAAATCCTGTTTCCCTTGGTAGTCTTTGACTTGGCCTATCCAAGCTTTTGGTTTCTTAGTCATATGCCAAGACAATAACCAAAGAGGCTGCAAACAGAAAGTTAAAGGAGTCTGCTATGAGCCACATAAAACTTCACAATAGTATTGCTCTAGTTTCTTCTCATGGGATAGGAGTTGAAGCCTTCAACATGTGTTGTTTTGCATTGTATGCATTAGAATGCATAACATTCTTCAGTTGAATATATTTTTAACTCTCTCATCCTTTTTTCTCTCTCTCTGTGTGTGTGTGTGTGTGTGTGTGTTGCAATGGTGCATGGGAGTTCTGATGCTCACAAAAACCAGAAGCCTTCAGATCCCCTGAAGCTAGAGCTCTGGGTGACTGTGAGCTGCTGGAAATGAGTAGTGGCAACCCAACTCAGGTCCTCTGCAAGAATGGCGAGTGCTCCTAACCACTGAATCATCTCCCCAGCCCCAACCCTCATCATTTTAATAATCCACCAAATGCTGCTTATAGGAAGCCCAGGGCACTACAGGGGAAAGCACAGAAAACTCTATCAGCAGGAAGGAGATCTTAAAGTGAGCTAATAAGAAGTGGCAGTGAGAACACCGGGCACAACTGTAGAAGCCAGGTTCCAATACTAATTTGTCCTTGAACCGCTTCAGTTCCCCTCTGTAAGGCTTTGCCTTCCAATTGGTGCAATGAAAGTCTTGAATGAAATTGTCTATCAGTGGCTTCCCTCTTCTTGTAAACGTTTAGGGAGTTAATGAAAGATTATGGAAGGTGTTTCTTCTGATTTAGATTCTGCATCCTTAACAGGCTCGTAGCCTCTTAATAATCGAGGTCATATTTACTACACATGCCTCAGAACTAA